ATGTGACAATAAAAGTGATTTGATTTGATATATGATATGATATGATATGATATGATATGATATGATATGATGTGATATGATATGATATGATATGATATGATATGATATGATATGTTATGATGTGATATGATATGATATGATATGATATGATTTAATTTGATTTGATATGATTTGATTTGATTTAATTTGATATATTCCAACAAATTGGAATTAATCAAAATTGGAGTCAGACTGAACTCTGAGTTGAATAAATAAATAAATTCTAATAAACAACCAAAATTTTTTTCGTAATCGCTAAAAAGGCTTTCAAGCATTTAACCTTAGATTCTGTCGTTGGGCTGTTGGAATGGGATGCTACAAAATCGTACATATTCGTATGACTGAACTGAATTAGCCACTAAACTGACCAAATGTAAAATATACGTTGCAATTTTGAGTGTTATCATTTCTTCTATTTCATTTGAGTTTTTTGACCCTTTTTTGACAACTTGTGATAATGTAATTTGTGACAATATATTAAAAATAATCCAGAATTTAAAGCTGTTCTTTTCTGTATATTTTTCCTTTTTTTTTCTCTCCTTAGATCCTCATGCAAAATGCATGGACCATATGGAAGATTGTCAGGGGGTTTCTTATACTGTGAAGATGTCTTTTCCCCTCTAGCAACTTACTTTAATGCATGTTTTGCATCTACTAATGGATGCTAACATGTCAAGGGTCTGCCTGAAACATTGATGTAATGTTTTTATTTTTATTTATTTATTTATTTTTTAAGTGGATTAGATTTGTGTGCATAAAAAACTGCATGGTGAATCTAAATACACATATAGCCATCCATTTAACAGCTGAAAAACTGCAAAACACTTGTCTACAATGCGTAAATGTCCATGATCTAACCTGGCATTGTTATAACTTGACATTACATAAAATAAATGCTCTATCATATTTTTGTGCTGTAGAGACATTATTTGTGCAGTGTGAGTGGAGTGTTGGTTAGTTTAGCAAATCTTCTGCAGTATCCGATTGAGATTTAGTGTCTTTGCTTTTTTCTGTTCACAACAGTGCTGAAATATCGACCTCATGGGAAACATACCACTTGTTCCATAAGCATTAAATAGTGTTTAAGACCATTGATGTCATCGCTGCAATCAATGCCAAGCATTGATTTTTTCTTTGAATTTTCCCCCGTTGTGAATGTGAATACAATTTATACCAGTAACTGTTTCCACTGTCAATCCCTAAACCTATGAATAAAATCTCTACAGAGCGATAGCAGTAGTCATGTTTATATTTGGTCTATTTTAAAATTGTTTTCACCATTTAGACTAGTACACCCACAAACCTGACTCATATCCTGATGAAAAAACTAAATGCAGGACATCCAAAATGCATTCTTAATTACAATATTCATGATACCATTGTTATTTTAGCCTCCCTATATATCAATATACCAACAGTTTTACATTGTTATATTTTATACCAATATTAATTGTCTTTTATTTGAACTATATCAGTTTTTTGTCATTTTGAGATGATGAGTTGGTCATGTTTATTACCATTTTATTGTTTTAAGTACTTTTTTATTATTTCTTACATAAATTTAAGTTCAGTTTTTAGATTTTATCTTCATCTTATAGTGTGGAGTTGTCAGTTTTATCTTTAGTGCTTCTTATTTGAGTTAAACAGTGATAAAGCCACTGCTTTTTGGTTTGTCTTTATTTACCCAAGTTTGAGTTAAAACAACAAGATTTTTTTTTTTTGTTTGTTTGTTTTGAGTTAATAATAATTGCCCTGTTTGATTTACTGACAGGGCAGCACAGTGGCACAGTGGGTAGCACAATCACCTCACAGCTCGAGCTTCGAGCACCTCAGTTGGCATTTCTGTGTAAAGTTTGCATGTTCTCCCCGTGTTAGTGTGGGTTTCCTCCGGGTGCTCCAGTTTCTCCTACAAGTCTAAAGACATGCTGTTTAGATGAATTGGGTAAGCTAAATTGTCCATAGTGTATGAGTGTGAATGGTTGTGTATGGATGTTTCTCAGTGATGGGTTGCAGCTGGAAGGGAATCCGCTGGAGATATGCTGGATACGTTGGTGGTTCATTCTGCTGTGACGACCTCAGATTAATAAAGGGACTAAGCCGAAAAGAAAATGAATCAATGATATACTGACAATCCATTGTTCAAACAATTATTACAAGCATTACTATTCAATTATTAGTTTAATAACTATTTAACTACTGTATTTTGCTCTGATAACAACACAAGTTAATAAACAGGCTTTTGTCACTTAACCCTTGCTATAATTTGTTTGCTATGGTAACCCAAACACAGCATTTGTCATCAGTGTGAATTCTGAGTGTCAGCCTCTGCCTACTCATCACAATTTCACACTCTTCTTCCTCCAAACTCTGACCAGAACAGCGTGTTTTTACTTTAAGTGTGACCACTGGTGCCATACTGCCACAAAACAAAGGCCTGGTATATACAGATCAATTAGTGGTGCCTATTTGCTGCAATAATATAATATGCAATTAAATGATCAAATTGAGAGTGAGAAATGGAAACAAACAAACAAATTAATAAGCAAGCAAACAAAAATCTTCTGAAAGCTATGCCAACCTCGGATTTTATTGTCAAAGTAAGATATATTTATTTGTTTATTATTACTTTATCATTATTTTTGTGTGTGCTTTGTTTAATTCAAAATATTTGAAATTAGATTTTTATATACATTTCCCACAACAAAAAACTTCAGAAAAGTCACTGTTACTTTTTCATCATGCCTCATCAATGATCAAAAGTTACAGTAAAGGCTTATATGTTATATTCTTCATTCAAATTAAAGCTGTTCTTTTAAATGCTTTATTAATCACTGAATTTTTAAAAAAGACCATGTTGTGTCATAACAAATCGTTTATGCCAAAAAATAGGTGACCCTGGAGCACAAAGGCTGTCATAAGATGTACACTTATTTTTGGCAATCACCAACACCAAAAAAAAAATAGAATAAAAAAGAATAAAAATAGCATAAAAAATAAATAGCATGCTCCATTAAGCTATTTTTGTATGTTTCCAACTTTATATCAATATTTTGTTTAGTGATGTGCAAATGAAAACAATTAAGCAACTGAATAAATTAAAAATCGTGAAAACTAAATCAAGCTTGATATTTTTATAACATCAAATTTAATCGTGAAATTTCTTCCACGTCCTTTATTTTATTCAGAATATTTAAAAAACAAATTTTTATACACTTTTCACAACAATAAATTTTCATAACTTCAAAAATTTACTGAAACTTCTTCCACATGCCTCATAAATGTTTAGTATGTCTCAGAATATTGTGACCCTGGATCCCAAAATAAGTCTTAAAATCCAAGGGTATATTTTTAGCAATAACCAAAAATACATTGTATGGATCAAAGTTATTGATTTTTCTTTTATGCCAAAGATTATTAGGATATTAGGTACATAGTTTATGAAGTATTTTTTGTTTATCTCCAACTTTATTTTAATATTTTATTTAGTTATGTGCAAATGGAAACAAATACGCATCTAAATAAAAAATGAATGAGCAAACTAAATTTAACTTTTTTAATAATATTAAATTTGAATGTCAAATTAAGATTTATATATTTGTTTATTAATTTCTTGTGTGAGCTTTATTTTATTTATAGTATTTATCAAATAATTTTTGAAATACATTTTCCACAACAATAAACATTTATAACTTCAAAACTTTTACCCCATGCCTAATCAATAATCAATATGCCACAGAATAATGTCACCCTGGAGACCAAAATCCTATTCCAAGTTAAGTTCCAAGGTTACATATTTAGCAATAATCAAAAATGCATTGTATGGATCAAAGTTATTGATTTTTCTTTTATGTCAAAGGTTATTAGGATAATGGGCACTGTAACTATTAAGCTATTTTTGTATATTTCCAACAGTAAAAATACTTTATATTTAAAAAATAGTTTTTTTACTTATTAATGTGCATGGCTAGGCCCCTCGTTTAGACAGTTTAAAGGCAATTTCAGTATTTAAATTTTTGTCAGGTTCCAGATTTTTTGATAGGCGAATTGTGCAGCTGTCACATTTATCTGGCTTGAGATGATAAAATTAACACATGGTTGATTTTGAATCATTCAAATATGATCTGAATTCAGCATGGCCATCACATTAATAAATAACATTTTAAAATATACTAACAATTCACAATACTGTTGTTTTTAATGCATGTCTGAACTCAAAACAAACATACAAACAACAACAAAACAATTTTTAGACACTTTTGTTGACCTGGAATATGTTATATTATAGCTATATTTATTTTGACCGAAGTTTGTGTTATTTATTATGTACAGTTACACATAGGCATAATTCCTCAGATAGCCTATTGGAAATGTTTTAATTAAATGTATTTAAGCCACTTGAAACAAATAGAGAACATCAAAAATCAACTAAATAAAACGAGATATTTTGCTCATAAAACACCCTATTTCTGCCATTCATCACTATCTACCTATATTTTGACAATAGGAGTCAGTAAAGCGTTCAGCTTATGTGTGTCTGCTGCACAGCGCCTCTACCGAGACATGTGCCTTTTACAGTAGAAGTCAGTCAGGCGTCCGGTGGAAGCGCGCACACATCAGTCACAATGACCGAGGCGGAGAATCAAGCCCGCGGACTCCAGCGATGGTGGAGGAGGAATACGGGCAAACACTAACAGCACAGCCGCCCGGACAGACTCAGAGGACAACAAAGATGTTTGGAGTAAAAACCAGCGTCGATTTATCCTCCCTTTCAGCGACAGAGAGCAAAGGAGGAGAGTTTATTTCGTCTCCATTCATCGGCGGAGTTTCAATGAAAAGTCTGCAAGCTGTCAAACTGCGCGGAGTCTGAGTGTAAACAACAGTCGGAGTGTTCCCGATACATAAAGACACGCTTTATTTAGCGTTTTTTATAGGTTACAGTAGTTTTTCGCTTACCGCTCAGGATGCAGGTGAAAAAACAGAGGAGCTCCGAGGACCCTCAGCGGGATGATATTAAGAAAAAGCCCTCGTGTTTCTCGAATATTAAGATATTTTTAGTGGCCGAATGTGCTCTGATGTTGGCACAGGGCACAGTGGGGGCATACTTGGTAAGCGATGCTTTTGTTTTGCTTTTGGTTTTGACTGAAAATGACTGCCTCTTTCGAACTTGCTCAACTTATTTGACTCATTTGCTTTACGCTAATCCTTTTCTTCAACCTTAACCTTCCTGTACTTCGGTGCAACTTAGTGCATGGCATGAAACGTGACGCGGATGTGACATAATCATATAATGGTCTTAAACTATTCATTGCACATGCATTGGGTTTAAAAGAAACAGACGTGAAGAAGGGAACCCATCGCTGAGTGTTCATGTAAAGCATAGCTGCCTCAGCAGATGTAAACAGAGATTATAGCTGTGAGGAATAAGTTGGCTGGCAGGCTGTAGGCTAGTGCACTGCTATGGCAGATAACCGTATGTGGGATATTTTAAACCTCTATTAATGTAAAAAATCATTTAATATAAGCCAAAGTGCTGTTGGAACAATAATGTATAGCAGCAGTGCTGAAATTCTGCATCAGGTCATCACATCAGTTTTGCCAATGCTTGGAGTATTACTTCAACAGCTTTCTCTCTCTATAAAAAATAATATAGTAAAACTTACATGTTGCAGACTGTTATTTTATGTTTATTGCTGTTCCACCAACCAAAAATATTTCTAAATTAGCAAGAGTGTCAAGCTTTGTGTTTTGTAAAGCCATATGCTTTCTGCTGGTATAGAACCGAGTATGAGTGGAACTCAGTGACAGAAATTTTCCTTCATGGCTCAGAGTGATCTCATGTTTATGTTTTTACACCATCACACAATAATATCACATACATCACTGTTGGGAATGTACTATTTCTATATCAGCATTCTGTTTAAAAATACCATCTAGGTTTTACATCGAATTACAACAGTTTATTTTCCTCAGTATAAGTTTATAATCACTTTTATTAAATGGATACTATATTTAAAAAATAACAATAAAAAAGTTATTTTGGTAAACATGTTCTACTTAAATGACTTAAATGATTATTGTTTTGTTTAATTGAAATTAATATACTATATTTGAACGCAGTATATATTTTTAAAAAGTATTTTTTTATGATTTTATGGTACAAAAATATAATTATGCTGTAATTATAATCTATTTATTACGTTATCCACTTTTTAACATAGACTATTAAATCAACTAAAGTGAGGTGTACTAAATGTTATGGAAATTTTAGTTTATTGTAATGAAAATAAAAAATGTTTTCATATTAGATATCAGTATATATTTTCTAAGACATGTTTAGCTCTAAACTGGGGGGAATAATAAAACCGTAACCCAAGTTTCAAATTTGGGTCTGATAAAAAAAAAAAGCTTTCGGGAAGAATTTGTTTGAGTGTGCTAACAAACATTTCCGTTATGTTATATTAGTTTCCTGTTTGTTAAAACATGGTCATTCTTGACTTCAAACATCAAAAAAGGTTCATTATTACACCCATTAATAAGTATTACGGTGGGATAGTGGGTTGCACAATCACCTCACAACAAGAAGGTCACTGGTTCGAGCCCCGGCTGGGCATTTCTGTGTTTGCATGTTCTCCTCATGTTCACGTGGGTTTCCTCCAGGTGCTCCGGTTTCCCCCACAAGTCCAAAAACATTTGAATAGCTATAAGTGAATTGGGTAAGCTAAATTGTTCACAGTGTATGTGTGTGAATGAGTGTGTATGGATGTCTCCCAGTTATGGGTTGCAGCTGGAAGGGCATCTGCTGAGTAAAACATATGCTGGATAAGTTGGAGGTTTTTTCCGCTGTGGCGACCTCAGATCAATAAAGGGACTAATCCGAAAAGAAAATGAATGAATGAATGACCCATAATAAGTATAATCTTTATTGATAATACTAAAAACAGAATACAAAACCAGCCAATTTTTGATATCTGGTAGATTTTTTTATTTTTATTTTTTTGATGAAGTTCTTTTTTGATATTTGCGTGAAGCACAAATGTCATTTTTAACCTTATTTTATTACATGGCATTCTTAAACTCAACGATAAGGCAAGTGCTGCTACTGAGGATAATTAGAGATGGCCATGACAAAATGCAGGAAATGATTTTGTTTTAGCATCTGAGAGAGATTGCTTTGTTTGTTGATAACCTTTTCACTATTTGTAGACAGCTAGCAAGGTTTTTATCTTGTCCTTCTTCTGATAAACACACAAATCATGTTTGTATTTTCTATTTTGATAAGTCTCTTTGTAAAAGTCTCTTCTTTGTAGTCATATCTGCTTCATTGGTAAAGAGTCTGATATCAAGACAAAATGCTCACATTTCTTGGTGCCAGTGAGTTGGATACCTCTCTATATAGCATCTTTGATAAGGAAGAGATTTGTCCAGCCATGTCCTTCATACCCATGGGACGTCTCTGATGTCTGTGCGAGCTCAGACCATATTTGGAAAGGAAACAATCATTTGCTCTGTGCCAGAAAGCCACAATACATCATGGGAACAGTCTCAAAGGGGTACACTTGTTGTGGACTGGATTTGTTCCCAGCGTATGGAAATTCTTATGTTTGGAAACCAAATCAACTCTGTCATTTTAACCAAAAAACTTTGTGGGACTGGAAGATGTTAAGATTGGCCAGATTTATTTTGACAGATAGATAGGGCGTTAAACTAAACTTATCCTCCCTGGGGTTTTTCCCTAGACAAACCAGCTTCATAATATTTCCAAAGATGTCCTACTGAAGCAAACATTTGTGTGAAACGGATGGTAGACATTTGTAAACTCTGAGAGCTTGTGTGATGTCTGGGACATTAGGTTATTTATACATAGGATGGAAGATTGTTCTCATGTGAAATTGTTTCCATTACAAGAAAATCCATCTGTATTTGTTCAAGGATAAAATATTGCAATGCAATATGGGCAAAAAAATTGGCACCCATTTTTTTCATATGTGTTTAATCAATGATGATGAATGTCAAATCTCTCTTTCAAGTTTAAAGGCTTGTTAACATAACAGTAGTGTCAACCAGATGAATATATTCACAAATCAGATTTATTCAGATTTATTTTCAGATTTAATGTAATGTAATATATGGCCATACACCCGGAGTGCTTTACAATCATGAGGGGGGTCTCTCCACACCACCACCAGTGTGCAACATCCACTTGGCCATGATGGTTAAGGGCCGAGAGGGAATTTGGCCAGGATAGCAGGTTTACACCCCACGCTTTACGAGAAGTGCCATTGGATTTTGAACAACCACAGAGATGATCTCATGAGGAATCATAACTATTTTATGTATCGTCAGAATAGTGGCTAATTCAGAGATGCCCAAACTAGGGTCCGTGGACCAAAGTTGGCCCATGGTAACCTTTGATTTGGCCAACCATCCCATCTGAGAAGAGATTTAGAATGATGAGAAGGTTAGGGAGAATGCCTTCAACAGAGATCGTCATTTCTAGTTTAACGTAACCTTTTGTTTGTTTGCTTGTTTAATTGTTGAGCTACAAAAAAAGCCAACTGAAATTAAATGTTTCATTTAAATGTTGTGCGTGAATTAGATTTTTAAAAATGTAAATGCTGATACTCGAAGATAGAGCACAACGCACAGGGAGGTGCACCATTGTGTTATAAATGTGTCTGTTTATGTTTCTATTTTAAGAGGTTCATTATAAAATGTAAAAAGTATAGTTACTGTATTTACACGATTCAAGTTTTTTTTTTTTTATATCAATACATTGCAAAATTACCATGGCAGCTTTAATGATATACTTATTTTTGGGCTACCACCTCAATCAAGTTTGGTTTTGGCCCTTCATATGCAAAAGTTTGGGGACCCCTTATTTAGTTCATATAAAAACTGACGATTTTTTGGCGCATCCCCAAACCCCACTCCTAACCCTACCCTTCCTTTGGAAATTAGTGAATCCTTATAAAATCTTTGATTGAGATTGTGTAAATAAATACAAATTGATTAATAAATTAGCGACTAAATCAAAATGTTTAAGAATTGCAGTGACATCGTGTTGGATTTCCAATCTGGGACCTGATTTAAAAAAATAGCTGTTGCACTCTCCTAAGTAGGGCTGGGCTGATAAACGATATTATATCAAACAGCAATAAAATTGATCTTAATAACAATGATAAGCTCTGGACTTTTTTTAACTCAATATTGATCTAAGAGCCAATCACACAGCAGAAGTGTGCAACAATAGGAATTTAAAAGTGTGTTAATATTAGAGATGTACCGAAAATTTATTAGCTCAAAATATGTTATGCCATTTAATGGACCCTCTAATTGTTGTGGCTTAAGTCATTGTCGGGATAGTCTTAAATCTAAAAGCATCAACAAATTAAATCGATATATATCATTAGCGTTCAACATGGAAAATAATTATCGAGATTGCAATTTTGCCATATCGCCCAGCCCTGCTCCCAAGTTCAATTTCTATCTAGAATGTTTTTTTTGTATATAGCAAATATGTTCAAAAACTCCATGTGGACAGGGCCTCAGTTTCACATTGAAGCATGTTAAACATTTATTGAACATGAGCTATTGTCTCATAAAGATAAAATTATACCTTGTAATCGGTTATCATCCAGCTTTAGGTCAAAATATAATACATTTTATCAGCATGCAGTAGCATTTGAAATTTCAACACATTTTGGCCTGATTCATTTTGACCACCGCTAAACCTGTTGCAATATTCAGTATATCGACTTATTGTGCAATACATGGAGATGACCCTTAATAATTTTTTGGCATTGCAATATATATTTACAAATTCACAAATAATGTTGAAGCCGTTTTACTATGACATTTACATTCTATTTCAGCGGTGTCAAAGTTTTATAACTGGACATTTACCCAATAGAACGTTTAATAGTACAGTGCTTAGAATAATTGAGTATACCCCATTTTACAGGTAATGTATGTTGCAACCCGGGCTCATTGTGGAAACGTAGTCCCGCGGACGTTTCTGGAGACCGTGGAATATGTCCCGGCGGCTACGTACGGCTGCAGTTTTTGTTTTTGCCAATCCGTGAGAGGCCGCTGTTGTGCGCTTTTT